AACCTAGACCTCCCTTGCTGCAGTTTAAGCCCATTGCTTCTTGTTCTATCCTTAGAGGATAAGATGAACAGGTTTTCTCCCTCCTCCTTATGTCACCCTTTTAAATACCTGAAAACTGTTATCATGTCCCCTCTCAGTCTTCTCTCCAGGTCATTTTGAATTTTAATCCTATCCTCCAAAGCATTTGCAACCCCTCCCAGCTTGGTATCATCCAAAACTTTATAAGTGTACTCTCTATGCCATTATATCAATCATTGATGAAGATAGTGAACAGAACTGGATCGAGAACTGACCCATGCAGGATTCCACTTGATATGCCCTTCCAGTTTGACTGTGAACCACTGATAACTGCTCCCACCTTATAGTAGCTCCATCTAGGTTGTATTTCCCTAGTTTGTTTATGAAAAGGTCATGCGAGACCGTATCAAAAGACTTACTAAAGTCAAAATATACCACATCTACCACTTCCCCCCCTATTCACAAGGCTTGTTACCCTGTCAAAGAAAGCTATTAGGAATTTGTTCTTAACAAATCCATGCTGACTGTTACTTATCACCATATTATTCTCTAGGTGTTTGCAAATCTATTGTTTAATTATTTGCTCCGTTATTTTTCTGGGTACTGAAGTTAAACTGACTGGTTTGTAATTTCCTGGGTTGTCCCTATTTCCCATTTTTATGGATAGGCATTATATTTGTCTTTTCCCCATCCTCTGGAATCTTTCCCATCTTCCACAACTTTTTGAAGACAATTGTTAATAGATACTTGTCAGTAGCCCATTGAAAAAGACCCATCCCAGTTGGCTGAAAAGAAACCGGACAAGGAGAGGAATGGCTCCCGGGCTATTTGGATGGGACTAAAATTGATGGAGATGGTATGTGAAAATGTCCTGACAGAGAAATAATATGTGAATAGTTAAGCTTGAGTTGTGATGATGGAATCAATGACCTGGCTGAAGCTGATGCGTGTGCCCCACATCTCCACCTTCCCCGTATCTGGGTTACTCCATTCTACCTCCTCATGCAAGAGGCTCTTTCGGCCTCCCATTTCCTTCTCCCTCCCATGTCTGGGGCTGTGTGTGCCCCACATTCCCTCCTCCCACACCTGCCACAGGTTCTGCGCCTCTCTTTCCCAGTTCCAAAGTACTATTCATGCCCCCCGGATGGGGGGAGGAACAGAGAAATGCCCTGATATTGAGTGTAAGGCCTCACTTTGTCAGCCAGTTCCCTTCAAGGAACCCAGGCAGAAGATCTACCCCATAACAATTCTGATACAAGAGTTTTTAAAGACTACAATAAATAAACTTTTATAACATATATATTTTATGTTTTATATTTTCAGCCTACAACGGATGGCATTTGACAGAGCTGCCGGATGCTATGTAACATCACGTGCCATGCCATTTTTGCCAATAATACTATTTATTTAAGGTGTTGCTCTTGCTCTCCTGTTTGAAACTGTGTACTGAGGAAGGCATTGTAACCCTTTACAAATGTAAACAGCAACAATAGCGGCATTGTTCGGGAGGGCGGGATAGCTCAGTGATTTGAGCATTGACCTGCTAAACCCAGGGTTATGAGTTCAATCCTTGAGGGGGCCATTTAGGGATCTGGGGCAAAATCAGTACTTGGTCCTGTTAGTGAAGGCAGGGGACTGGACTTGATGATGTTTCAGGATCCCTTCCAGTTCTATGAGATAGGTATATCTCCACATATAAACTCTGAGGGAATGACATTACTTCCAAAGCATATTGGGTCAATCAAAATAATGTGTTTGAAATTAAGAAGGTGTATATTTGTAAAGGGTTACAATGCCTCCCTTTCCACAACTACTCATGCTCAGAGTAATTCTGGGTGACATTGAGTAGTTGTGTAAGACATCAGAACAGTCTCCCAAGAAATTACATTTGGGACATTCAGAACTGGATTGCAAAGGCTAGATCCTCAGCTGCAATAGAGTTCTGTTTGCAGAGGACCTGGTTATGAGGGTAAGGGAGGACAAGATGGATGTATCCCATCTCTGTTCTTCCCCAGGACTTTTGATGTTGGTTCAGTCCACGGCATAATTTAGACCAGGGTCAGGTTCGCTGCTATAAATCATTGTTCCTTGCAATGGTGCTTAGAATGGCTGGAGATAGCCATAACACAGCATGCTCTATCCTTGTCCCCCATCAGCCCTGGCTTGGCCCCTGCACTGAGAGGGTTGAACTTTGGGAGAATTCCCAGCTGCCTGGTCAGGGCAGCTTTATGATCCCTTTTAATGGGTACTAAATGGAAGTACTTGATTCTGCATCACTGAAATCAAGGGAGGACCCAAGAAAAATTTGCCCTGCACCAAATGAGTTCATAAATGCTAGTCAATTGTTGCATAGTGATGTGACTATTTAAAAATTTCATCCTGAAGTGGCTTTAAATTATGTTGATTAGCATATTAATTATTATCATTTTTGCTAATATGCAGAGTAACTTGCATTGTTTATTGGCAGCTCTTTTTACATAACAATGAGGTATTATCCCTATGATGGCAATCCATGGATTAAAATATTTCATACAGTTTTACCTCTTGCAACAGCTCTGGGATCAGAACTTCACCTGGTAGCCAGCTTGAAGAGAGAGGAGAAAGAGAGACCTTAAATAACATTACATACATAAAAAGCGACAGAGTCCTGTAAAAAGCAACAGAGTCCTGTGGCACCTTTAAGTGTAACAGATGTAGTGGAGCATAAGCTTTCGTGGGTGAATACCCACTTCGTCAGACGCATGCTTATGCTCCAATACGTCTGTTAGTCTATAAAGTGCCACAGGACTCTTTGTCACTTTTTACAGACCCAGACTAACACGACTACCCCTCTGATACATTACATACATAGTCTCTCAACAGAGAAATGAAAGTGGCATTGAATACTAATGTCACTAAGCTGCTTTACTGCAAACAGTTAAAATATATGTAACAGTTACTGGAATTTTTTTTTATGAGAGTACAGCTTTATATTCTAAGTTTAAACTAGCACCTTGATTGTATTGATATTATATAGACCAGCACACTTGACAATCCCTCTTTCCATTGCCACAATTCAAATATGTTTTGATTTCATATCTTATCAGTCCAAATCTCTCCTTTGTTTTTAATGTTAAATTTCACCTTGACAAACTGTAGGCTAACCATTTAAAAACACGGTGCCCACTAACTTGACTGACACACTAGTGCCTTGCGGTAGGGGGGATGACACACCTGTACTACCAACTCACCAGTGGGCTACACAAATATATTCTGTTGTAAAATATGGAAGGGGTTTATAGTCCCTATTCTCTTGTGTGGGTGTGTACAATTCACTTCAATCAGTTTATCATTGTTTTTTTTTCCTGAACCTAAGGAGTAAAATTGTATTTTATTTGAAATCCTATTGTCGTTTGCTACTGTAATGTTTGAATTTCTAGATTGAGAAAAGAGGAGCTGCAGAGGATTTACAGATTCCTGACTGATTATAAATGCATTGGCCTTTTATCAGAATTAACATTACAGTAATACAAGTCAAACATTGAGTCAGCTAAATGGTTAAAGCAGAGGATGAGAAGATGACCATTTAGAGTTGATAGCATAGTCATATGTCTTAGAGAAATCATTATTGAAAGGGTAGGTTTAAAAAACCTTTTGAAAGTGAATTTGCAGTAGATCCCAGAAATATATGCTGTTAGGCTCTTTTGGAAGTACAAAATCCTGGTTAATCGTATGTGGGGGATCATTGTAAATATGATATTTGAAAACAGATGTGGGAAAAGAAAATGGGAGAAAGGATTGAAGAGTTCTTTGTTATTCTTGATAAACAAAACCCTACCTATCAAATAGATTTCAATGTGATAAGAAATTTAGCAAATCTTTAGAGAAGCAGCCTTCTCCTAAAAGAAAGATAATACAGCTGACAGTCACTTAAAACTTTTTTGTACCTTGGAACTTTAAAAAGATTTTTTTTTTTTTACCCTAAGCTGCAGAAAACTTCCCCTTTCTCCCCCTCCCCTTTTTAATCTTCATTGAGGATCTTTGCTTTGAGACTTCCCGCACAAGAGAGCGCTTTAAGTGGAAGTCTCCTTTATACTATATCTGATGTCTGCCAGTATAATTCTTGTTACAATCATTTGGAACATTTTCCTTCTGTCCTCAAGCTGTTTTGCTGCTTATTATCATGTTTAACATACCCACTGCCTGGCAGGACAGAGATTAGAAACTCTTAATATTTGTTATATAGTGAGAGGTCTTGCCATTTTTGGCAGCAAGTGCTATAGTATGCGAACATAATGTATCAGTGCAAAAGTTCTGAACTGTCTAGTAAGTCACATTAATCTCCTTTTTTTATCCTTTTATGAATTGTTCAAAAATCTGCTATACTCAGCAGTGTCCCCTTAATAGTGTGGTTGATAACGTATATTGAAAAGAAACCTTTATTTGTGCTGTGATGGGTGCACACAATACAGAGATAGATTTACTGTATGTATACATAGATATTTAGGTGTTTTTTGAAAGTACTGAATGCTTCTTTTGATACATTTTCAGAATTTTAAAACCTGGATAATTAGACTGTATTTTTTTTTTTGCATCTTTGAACTGTTTTTTTTAACCATAAAAACATATATATATTTTTTTTTTTAATAGACTGGGAGAAAAGAAAAAGGGGACCCACTGAACATTGCCATTGACAAGATGACCAAAAAAACAAGGGATCTACGAAGACAGGTATTTTGTGCTCTTCATTATGCATGTTCATTTTCAAGAAAGTTATTGTTCTGCCTGTTCAGACAGTCTTTGACACGAGTAGAATTAGAAAAATGCATGATCTGTTTATGATTTATTATTACCTTATAATTAATGGTGGCTGCAGGTTTAATACCCGCTGAGTAACAATGGAGAAACTGAATTACCTGCTAGATGAATCACCCAGTGCTCTTTATGTCGAGGAGGAGGGAAAACACTCTAAGCTTTAGTTGCCTCTGGAACCACTAGAGCCAGTTGTGAAGCCAGAAGCTGGGAATGAGTGACTTGGGATGGATCACTTGATCTGTTCATTCCCTCTGGGGCACTGGCCACTGTCAGCAGACAGGATACTGGGCTAGATGGATCTTTGGTCTGACCCAATAGGGCCGTTCTTATGTTCTTATGCAGCCACCGACGTATGTGCTTATCTTTGCTCATATGAGTAGTCCCATTGAAATACATGGAATTATTAACGTGAATAATGTTAAGCACGTGTGTGTTTGTAGGACTGGAGCCAAAGCCTCTAACATTTTAAAAGGAAACCCACCTAAAATGCTTGTTAAATGGAGAAAGCATATGGATCGGGAGAAGAAGGAAAAACAGTAGTGAAAAAGTGCTTATTGCTTTTTCCACACTATTTTTTCCTTATTCTACTAGGCAATGTATTTTGTAACAGAATAATATGATGCAAAATACTGAAACTGGAGATGGGCAACTGCATGGGAGAGGAGGGAGTTGGATTTTTTCCCCCCCTAAATTAAATTTCCTTGGTGCTTTCCCAATTTCACATTAAGGATAGAAGGACCTTCCTCTTCTTTTGTGTGATGAAATCCCAGCACTGAGTTGGTCCATGGTTGAGACATTATCAGAAAGGATCAGCTGGCCAATCAGACCATTGCTATATACAAACAGGCCAAACTATGCAAATAAGCATGATGAAATAAGCACCCAAATCTGTATTTAGGTACCTGTATAAGTAGCCTTGCTTGCAGAGGTGCTAGGCATCCACCGTTTTTATGTATGTGAGTGCTCATCACCTTGAAAATTAGGCCATTCATTTAGCTACTTCCCTTTTGACACCCAGGTATGAAAATATTGGCCCCAATGCGCATTGCAATACTGTAATAATAAAAAATGTTGCAGTTTTACAATGTGTTATAGTTGGACACCTCCCCCCCAGTATGAATCATCAGCCATGCTGTAGGAAAGCGAACATTATCTCTGTTGCTGAAGTTAATGAGAGCAGAAAAATACTGCATCTCTGCAGGTCCAGCCTCCTGATGTTTGAGACCTCAAGCTGCAAGAGTGCGGTTTGCACCATATGTTGTCTCCCACTCTGTTCCCACTGCTAGAGTGATGTACAAGGTCAACACACAAGTTGCTATTCTGTGTGGGGCCCCCAGCAATCACTTGCATGGCACATGTCTGAAATCAGGTTCCAGTCTCAGATGGGACTATGTAAAAATGGCACCTCCTTACTCAACACAACTGTTCCTTGTGTTCATTCGGCATCATCTCTACTAACTTCAACCACAAAAGTAAGTTGGAGCTAATCATGTGAGCAAAGTTAAGTGTATGTCGGTTTTTGCAGAATTGGAACTAAAACCTCTAACATTCTATCTGGGTTTTATTCCTGCTAGCCCTGAAGAGTCTATTATTTATTAGAGTTACTGTAGCAGCCCAAGGCCCTTCTCATTATAATCAAATCACAAATGTAGTAGGTGCTATGGAAATGAACAGGAAGACAGTCACAGCACTGAAGAGTGTATAATCAGAGTGGAAATTGACCACAGCTAAGAGACAAAAACTGCATTCTATTTCTCCTTCTGTATCATCAAGAGAATGAGTGCTTATCTCCACTCAGTTGCAGCTATGAAACTCCACTTAAGCAATGATATTACACCGGTATCACTGAGGACATATCTGAAGACAGGGTGTTTGCACATGTGGGGTTGCCCAGTGGAGTTGGCAGGATTTGTCCAATAGATTCTTTATAATAGGCAAGGAGGTTCAAGAAGAAATGAACCAAGTTTGAGACTTCAGGGCTGGCAGTTTGCAATCTTTTTACTTGTGAATTAATCACATTATAAGCAGACATTTTTCAGGGACAGCAAACATGGAGCCTCATCATGCCATCCAGGGACATGGTTTAGTGTTTATGTCATGACATCAGTACCTGGTGCTGGCCAGGGAAGCTAATGATCCAACTAGCGGACCAAATTTCGTGATGAATCCTGATCCTCTGCCACCCGAGGCACATTGCACATTCTCTAAGCAGAATAATACCCTTTTTACAGAGTCACTTTTTAGAGTAGGAGCCTCTTTAAGTTATTGTCAATCAGACTCCACCCAGTTCTAGGTAAATAACAATGAGCTGGGGATCTACAAAATGAATTTGTGGGCAAGGGAGGGATTGTCTTCCTTCTGTCAGAAAGCGCTCTCTTCCCAGGCTTCAGCAGTCAGACTGATTCTTTTTTTTTCCCCTTCCCCTCTCCCCCCCCCCCACGGCCACTCTACTCCAGATCTCATTGAGGGTTTTATTTGGTTAGACAAAGGAATGCATGGGCATGCTGACATGGTTGTGGTTGGGGAATCTGGTGTTCAAAATCCATTTCACAATTTCTAGTGGTATCCGTTTTCCTCTTTTGGAGGAATAACACCCTTTATAATCATCACTTTGAATCCTCTGGGTATTTGAAAAATATTATGTAGATCTAATTTTTACATCTGCATGTCAACTGTGAATGAGAATAATATCAAACTGAGTCAGACTGAATAAGTGCTTAGAAGCAAGTGTCCCACAGCAGCCTACTGCTTCCTGCTGCCACTTACTTTGTTTTCAGTTGTTTGGGAAAAGCAGAGACTTCTGTGTCTGATAACAAGTTGTGCCAATTGGCAAGATTTTTTGCTTTTTTGTACACCCAAGTTTGTCTAAAGGAAACAAACCAACCCCCCCAATTGGAAACATCGTAGTATGCTACAGCCGACAAGAAAGCTCACAGCAGTGAGAAGCCTGCTGTTGCCAGTTATTTTGTTTGTATGTTCTCTCTATTGAGAAAAAAATACTAACTCTATAGTTTAAATATTACAACTAATCAGAAACAGCAGGTACACACAATCTTTGAGACACTGTGACTCGGCGGTAACATTGGAACAAAGATAAACAGGGAAGAATTTGGCTTACGTGCATGCTGAATGCAGTGATGGCCAACATGGCTATAGATCATTTGGAGTGGAGTTAGCAGTGTACCAGCTGTTCCGCTGTCACCACCACTGGTGTTCCACCTGTTAATTCTGCTGCCTCCTGCCATTGCTGCACCAGTCTCTGTGCCCCAGACTCTCCTTCAGTTTAGCAGCTGATCTTGTTCAGCCACTATTCACCAGTGTTTCTTTGAGTTACCGTAATTAAAATGTTTTGATCACTATACGATGGCAACCAAATCAGAGCTTTGTGTTGTGGAGAATTTAGAAGTTTGGGGGGGTTGTTCTGAATAGTCATGAAAACAGATTTCAGAATCTCAGTCTTTTGTGAAACAGAGTTTACTCTCTGCGGCGCTTTAGTTCACAGGATGTTGTACTAAAAGAATAGGAATCAGGATTGTAACGTTAAAAAATCCAAAAATCACCAGGATAACATTTTCGTTTCAGTAAATTCATTTGGTGGTCCAAATCTTTAGAATGGTAGAAAACCATGAAACACATTATCTATGTAAGTTTATATAATTCATAAATAAAATCCTCTGTATCATTGGCACACTTATTAATTGGTTTCTTGTATCAACCGACTAAAAGGATCTTGGAGAGAACCTCTATTTAACTCCATCTTTAGCATTTGGCCCTTATCCTTGACCCTTCTCGTTACATCTCTTGTCTTAGCATATCATTTTATGCTCTTTATGTGGGGCAGCACCATTGAGAGGAAGTTGCATTACCGTTGCTTATGAACTCTGGGAACAAATCGTATTTTACAGCACTTTGAAAGCCATTCAAAATTCATGTATACGCTAGCGTCTCCAGGAGTAAAAACATGAGCATTAGGCCAAGCTGTTGGACAAAGGTAGGGTGACCGGATGTCCTGATTTTATAGGAACAGTCCCAATATTTGAGGCTTTTTCTTATATAGGCACCTATTACCCCTCACCCCCTTGCTATCTGGGCACCCTAGACAAAGGGGAAACCTAACCCCGGAAAATGTATTCTGTTGCAGTAGGCTTTATGGTATCTAAATCCATATAATGCAAATTATACCATGGACTGATGCTTACATAATAGTCTATGGATTCAAATCTATCAAAGAATATCTCCAACCCCCTGCCCAAAGCAGGACCAACCCCCAACTAAATCATCCCAGCAAGGGCTTTGTCAAGCCTGGCCTTAAAAACTCCTAAGGAAGGAGATTCCACCACCTCCCTAGGTAACCCATTCCAGTGCTTCATCACCCTCCTAGTGAAAAAGTTTTTCCTAATATCCAACCTAAACCTGCCCCACTACAACTTGAGACCATTGCTCCTTGTTCTGTCATCTGCTACCACTGAGAACAGTCTAGAGCCATACTCTTTGAAACGCCCTTTCAGGTAGTTCTTCTCTTCTGCATATTAAACAATCCCAGTTCCCTCAGCCTCTCCTCATAAGTCATGTGCTCCAGACCCCTAATCATTTTTGTTGCACTCCGCTGGACTCTTTCCAATTTTTCCACATCCTTCTTGTAGTGTGGGGCCCAAAACTGGACACAGTACTCCAGATGAGGTCTCACCAATGTCGAATAGAGGGGAACGATCGCGTCCCTTGATCTGCTGGCAATGCCCCTACTTATACAGCCCAAAATGCTGTTTGCCTTCTTGGCAACAAGGGCACACTGTCGACTCATATCCTGCTTCTCGTCCACTGTAACCCCTACGTCCTTTTCTGCAGAACTGCTGCCTAGCCATTCAGTCCCTAGTCTGTAGCAGTGCATGGGATTCTTCCGTCCTAAGTGCAGGACT